TAGGCCTTTCTTTTGAGAATAACGAAATCGAAGAAAGCTGGCGTGCTTAACTTTGAGCCCTAAAGTAATAGTAACAGTATACATAGATCTCATAGGCGAACATTTATGCTTACAATGCCTTTAGCAGGTAGACCTATTCTGCTATAATACTAAATGAAAAAAGAAAATATAAAATTTATGTTGACAGTTTTTTCATTTCATTCAGTCCATGTGTAAGCCTTTTGTAACTTCGTTTCCTGATTAAGTCAATTTTTTTTTTTTTTTCAAACGCCTTTTTTTTATTTTATTTTTTTTTGATGACGCATGAGTCGTGTCAAGCTGTGATGTGATTCTTGTTCAGTAATGTTTGGCATTTGATCATGGAAAAGCTTATGACCTTTATTATATATGGAGATCTTAAATTGAAGTCGCACYGTGAGAACGTAATCGCCAATGGTCCAATGGTGACCGTTGTCGCGCCATGATAATCGACTATATGATATTTGAAATTCAAGCTTATTATTTTGGCGAGATTTGGATGGCGCCACACATCACATCACATCAATCAATGAATTTGGCTAAAGAACTCTTCGGTGAGCAGTTGACTTAACGTTTTGGTCGACTGRCCATCAATATCGTGTGATATTACACCGTTAGCCTTTTTTCTATCCGGACAGCCACGCGTCGATGCAGGCTTTGGAGTAAAACAAACAAAAACAAACCAGTGACCAGTCGAAATGCTCGAAGGAGTCATCACGTAGCCGCTCCCAAAATGTGTAAGAAATGATCTTTAAAAGTAAATGGTAAAGAATATTCTTTCGAATGATAACAAAAATTCCCCATAAAATTTAAAGTTTTCCTTTACAAAAGTAGGAAACCTAGAAATAGATCACCCCTGAAATATGTGATTTTTTTTTTTTTTGCACATAAAGTATATTTTTCGGTACTTTTTAAGAATGATATTCAAACTTTTAAAATATTAACCAGAGAATTTGGAATAATATATATGAATTATCATTCAACTTTGAAAGTTTTAAAAAATGTTTTCTTAGATCTTCCAAACATTATTATTTCAGTAATTAATTTTATTCCTTGCAGCAAAGGTTGCTATCAGACTCCAGACCACCAGACCACCAGGACCAGAGAAGGATATTCTGAAATCCCAATACGTTTACATTCCTGATAACTTGGACCACTGTGCCGCCAAGCGAACTCTTAGTTGCATATTCTCCGAGGGATATGAGAAGCAGARTCGCTGAAGAAAAGGTACCGAGAACTTTTTGACGGATGGATCGAAGCTCAAGGAGAAAGTTAGATTGGGAGTCTTCTGTCGGGAAACCAATTTTTGTTTCAGATGCAATGCAATGTAGTGTACATGTGGAAGCTTACAACGTAGCATCAGATGTACTTCTCAGAAGTGAGATATGCATCCATTCMCATAGCAGWGCTACTMTACAGGACTAGARCACGTTAATAGTGAGCTRAAAGCTGGTCCATGACCCCAATAGCAGTAGCATTAAGCTTTTTCCATATTTAACTTGTCTAGTTGCTTGGCAACTTGTCAAAGTTTCAAGGAGAAAGACGAGGTGGAAACATTTAGACACTGTCTCCTCCAATGCTCAGCTTTCGTCAGATTAAAGTTGAAGCAACTTGGTTGCCAGACTTTTTATGGCAGAAATAAGGTCTTGCATTTTCTTCGTCTCAGCATTTGCAAATTAAAATGTACGAATTTGTAATTGAAAAAATTATATTCTCCAACTAGTTATTTCCTTTAAATCGTTGTGTGTTTTATTTAATTTTTAGAAAAAAAAAATATATTTTTATGGTAGCGGTCGACGARTAATTAGAATCTTCTTTAATCATAAGAAAAATCTGAGTTTGGACGTTTAAAACACATTCTAGCATAGCTAAAGCTTTTTTATTAACYCCAAAAAATATAAAGTCTTCTAATCCTACCATCAATAACTTTGAAATATTACACAGAAATTTGTTTGTATTTTAGCTTAAAATGTCCCAAAGAGCCAAGTTATGTATGTATACAAAGCATATTAATTTTCACAATTCCAATATGAAAGATTGGAATTTTAATTAGGGCTTAAGGCTAACTAAAACTACCAAAAAAAAAGCTCAAATTCTAAGAAATCAATATCCAAATCACAGTTTGCTTCATTAAAGACTAATAAATCTCAAAAATGTGATGCGCATGTGACCACAATSCCATAAAAGACATTTCTTTACAAATCAGCATGAAACATGAAAGATGAGCAACAACTTACACATAACCACACTTAATTTCTTTTTTGATCCCAGCTATAGATTAATGGCTTGATTACACGCACTCCATAAATGTATGTAAATTCGTGAATATTTGCGGTTTTCAACGCCGCAATAAATAATCAATATTAGTTGCAACACGAGCCTACCGCGCGGCATTAGTCATCGTCTCAATCTGAATAGGGGCYAGCGCGTGCCATGCGATAACTGGACATGTACGCACAAATACATTTATATTTTCACKTATGAATATTGATCAATTGTCTTCCCTTTATAAACTTTCTCGAACGCCATTGAGCTCCGAGACAATCGAGATGTTACAGCTGAAGTCGCGCTTGGCAGTCATGAGTCACTCGMGTCCAATTTTCATGCGCCGTCAGCAAGCAGCCTAGCACAGCATTAGGCAATTAATCTTGCGTGAGTGATGCCGTTAATTTGCTGCATTTAAATGATTTTTCCTTTTCTTTTGTTGTTGTTTTCTGTTTTTTGCCTTTCGTTATGCAAATCGTACATAAGTATTGAAAACGATGCACGATTTATGGCCCGCGCTCAACTCTCAATTCGCTTTATTAACATATTGTGATTCTTATTATTGATATTTCATGTTCTTTTTTCATTGGTTCTTGGAGAAAAAAATATCTTAACACAGGTGTCACTGAATTGCAATTGTTGTTGTATCAAACCGTCCTCATTTTTGAAACTAATTATTTATTATTTTTCTAGAAATTTGACAACAAAAACATAGCAACCGCAATGTTACCATCATTCAGCCGATTTTGAGTGTCTTTATCTCAGCTCCCAGCTTATCGATATTCATGAGCTGCCAGCTGAAGCCTAGAAATCGCTTTTTATTTTTTATATTTTTTTCTTTATTCCAAGTTCTTGTGGTTTTAGCAATGCAATTCTCATTAGCAATGCAAATTTTCGATAGTAAATTCTCTATGKGACCCCCGGGAGTTAGTAGCGCTGCGCCGCAAAGTCTGTGTATTTTACTTTTTCAAAAATTTCTTTGTTGACTTGTCAGCTTAATTAATTTATTATGGCTTAGAGCAAGCGTGTGCAATAAATAAACGCACATGCAGCATTATTAAATAGTGAGTTTTGTATAGAATTTTATATTATAATCGAAATTGTAGATTTAATTTAGTTTAATTTTATTTCATGTACTTTATAAAACATACTTGGAAGCTAAGTTGAAGATGGGTGCTAATTCTAGTTTTGAAAAAAATATTTTTATATATTTGAGTGCTCAATAATTTATAAAAATTATATTTCATACGGTATTCGAAAAAAATTTAAAAAAAATGTGGAAATACTTTTCATGGAGTATATTTTTGAAATTTCTTTACTTTTTCAGAAATGCGAAACAAATTTTTTTTTACCACAAATATAATTGAAAAGTCTGGCAAGTATGGCAATCCTGATACATATTTGAATACATATTTGTAAATATTTGAGTGATTAGTATATTTTCGAAATTTCTTTAATTTTTCAGAAATGCAGAAAAAAAATTTTGCTCACATAAAAAAATTAAAAATTTCAAATATGGCAACCCTGCCATAGATTTTAATAAATATTTGTATATATTCAAGTGTTCAATAATTTATAAAATTTATATTTTTTTACAGTAAAATTTATTTAAAAATGTTCAAATATGGCAACCCTGTTTTATACATTTCTTGAAAAAAGCTTTTCAAGACATTTTAGCTCTCACATTTTTCTCTTTTGCATATTCTTGCTACTTTTCAAATATCTCATACAAGAAATTTCAAATTTATTAACGATAGTTGGCAACTCTAATTTTGCAATGGATTGATTTTTTTAAAAATACTGTTATATTTACAAAACTAAAAAAAATTATATTTACGAATATAATATTTAAATGTGGCAACTCTGTTTTTGGATTCTTCTTAACATATTTATAGTTTTCAAATTAAAAATTAAGAAATTTAAATTTTTTTTTTTTTTTTGACTACTTTAACAATGAAATGAGGCAACCTAGAGTTTTGAAATAGTTTTTGAAAAGTTTTCTTAAATTTTTTAAAATTTATATTAACTCTTTTTATATCATTGTAATATGGAAATCTTTTTTCATTTATTTTATTAGTTGTAAATATTTTCAATACTTATTGGCAAATAGCTATGTATGTGGAAATATGTGATTAAATTCATACAAATTTTTTTGAATTAAAAAGTTCGAAATTTTTGTTTTGAAAAAAATTCGTTCATATTTACCAAAACTGCCAATATGGCAAAAAACAGTATACCATATTACTGAAAATACCATCGTCAGTCGTGATATTAAGTAATTGAAATTAATATTAAATAATTGAAATTGACTCCCTTACAACACGCAAGAACTCCCTCCTCCAAACACAGTATTTTATGGTCTATCGATATTAATATCAATTTACTTATATTAACCTTATTTAAATCGATTTCTATAGAGCACGCACAAATTAGACAACTGCAATAACTCGAAAACCAAGTCTAAAATATTTAACAACATATCTTTCGGAAGTAAGATAGGAAAAGAAAAGAAAAACAGAACATGAAACCAGCATCCTACAACTATTTTTTTTTAATATTCTACTGTCATTACTGGTGCTGTTACGAACGAAATAAAATTTTCTAAAATTTTCAAAACTTTTAAATTGAAACCAAAAGTCAAAATTCTAATAGAACCTTAACACAGTCAATTATTTTACCAATTTTTATAAACATTTATAGAAATATTTGCTACTTACATCCCCATTTTCGGACTTCACGCAAATATTCATTCCAGAATGCGCAACGTCCTTCCAGTGGGCCACGTTGCAGCTTCTCCTCTTTGTCATCGGTTGAAAAGACATAATACACGGGATCTTTCTTTGTAAAATTTGGCCATTCTTCGCCATCAGTGGCGGGATTGCTGTAAAGCAGAGTTGGAATTGTAATTAGCAAAGGAGAATACAACAAAATAATATTTATTAATATTATATATAATATGTATTGAACCAAGGTTCTTCAGATTAAAGTGAAAAGCAAGTTCTTTCCCTAGACTTCATCATAAACGATTCGCTTGATACTAATTTTGTTATGTTTTATATTTTTTTGTAGCCTATTCTTACATACTTCTCTATAGCCATTCTTCAAGCCTTTATAATAACAAAAAAAATAATCTGTAATAATAAAAAAATAATAAAAAAATAAAATAATCTGTAAATAATCTGTAATATTTTTTTTTAGTTTTAATAATTGATGGTAACTCTATTCTGAAATTTTTTTTTTATTTATATCAATTCTTTTTTCAATTATTGAAAATATGCTTCATTCCTCTCCATGCAGATGCTTTTTAAACGAAAGCAGAGAACGTATATTTATWGCAGATATTTGATAAACGTTCTTTGCTATAAATACACGTTCTCTGATGAAAGCTGCGAAAGCTGCGTTACCATAAAAAGCTGCTAAAAGAAATCAGCGTAGCTATAAATATAGTAGCTTTTCAAGCTTTTCACATMAAAATGAAGCTTTGGTTGAACGCTAAATAAACTTAACGAAAGCCATGTGTAACACCAAAAAGACTGTCTTCCAAAAGCTTTCGTATTTCATACCAGAGAGCGTAAATGCAGAGAACGTATATGATATACGATCTGTGGGWGTGATATACGTTCTCTGCATTAGGTTGGTTAGAAAATCGAAAATCATTATATCGTCACCTAATATGAAAAATAACGTACGATCAAAAAATTCGAAATTGAGTGTTTCATTGACGATRTGTGGTATATGAGAGTTGGAGTAGTCTCAACCCGATTTTACCTTTTTTTCTCAATACCAAATACTATTAAYATACCACATATTAAAAAACCAATCATATGGAGTAAAGTCAACCGAATGTTCGAAATTTTTGATWTCAGCGCTCGGAGTGCACATCTCAAACTTTAAATGCGTTTTTCTCAAAATACACTGTTTTAAACTGGCGGACATGATTCCGGTGGAACTACTCAACTTAATGTCCACAAAATGCCTGGCTATCGTMSCCATATTTTTTATAATTTATTGACAATGTTATGGTAAAATTTATGTAAAAAAGCATGAGGAAAAATTTAAGAAAAAAGTTAATTATTTTTTCATTTATCAACATTTTTTCATGATTCTAGTAGGGACAATAACCATTCGCGTACTTTTTAATAATAAATTGGGATTTTGTGTTTCAGATGATCCACACATGAGAAATCGTGTCCGCCAGTGAAAAAACGCATCTTATTCACCCGGCCATTTTCCGACAGATGTCATCAAAAAATTCCGAAAAAATTTGTTTATACACTCCACGATATACTTCATAATATGTGAAAMAGGTTCCATTGTAGAATAAAAATTTCTATAAAAAAATATTAAAAATATAGGCCAGATTACCCTACTGACCCCTTAACGGCAAATATTTTTTAAATATTTTCTCAGCGTTTTCAAATACATACTTCTTGAACTTATTAATATACCACTTTACATAAAATAATCGTCAGCAATTTGATAAAATTATAAAAAATCAATTGCCACACACACACACATGCATACACAGTATATGTCAATTATGTGCATTGAAGAGTTTACTAAAGAAAAATTAGCAGAACTGCAATCAAATTTGCTGTTGGTTTGATAAGTTCGATTCGTTAGTTGAAGGAAATATGAAATTACGAAGAATATATAAAAATAAATAGATAAAAGGCAGGTAGTTATGAGAAGTAAATTTTAAAATGATTTTTGAAATTATGGAAATTATGGAAATTTAATTTAAACAAAAYTCAACTAACTTTGCTTATTTGCGCTTTAAAGTATGCTACAAAAATAAATAAAAGCATTTGCTTTAAAAGAATTAACTTTGCTGCCCACCGAGGCGTATGAGCAACACAAAAACCAAGCAAATACTTATAAGCACACAAACACATACATATATAAACTGTCTGCTACCATTCCGCTTGAAGAGTTTACAGTCGAAAACTGTTGCAATTAAAATTGCACTTCAAATACACTTGCGTCGGAAAATATACTTTCGAGTGCCGGCCACTCAACACTTTTTATTGCACGCCAAMCCATATTAATGCTCATAAAGCAACTAGTGCAAGTGTATGTGTGTGTGTGTGTTTGTCTTAGTGCTCGAATGCTGTATTGCTATATTATTAACACATTGAAAGTTTCATCAGCGGCGATCGCCAGTACTTACCCAGTTTTAGCAAATTCAATAACGGCATTCAGCATCCGCTTGCCCAGCTCTCGTTCGACTTGCCGATACTGTAGCGATGTATTCAATGGCTGACCGAAGAAGTACTCGATCTCATCGCCGTGCAGTACGCCCATCCACTCACCCCACAGGGAGGTGCTAGTGCGCTGAAAGCATATAAGAAAAATAAATCCATTGCAATATTGTGGGTTTTTATTGAGAAAAAACAAGTTTTATTTTAAAGTTAAAGATAATAACTAAATTTTGTATATATGTATGTCTTTGTAAGAACCTTAAAATTATTTATTCTTAAAGAATTTTTGAAAATTCTTAAAGCGAGTGAATAAAAGTGATATCTCAAATCACATTTATACAATTTTCCACCACCGTTATGTATAGCCGCAGCTTACACACATTTTATTTATATGTSTCTTTAGCTTACRTATACATATATATGTATTAAAAAAAACACATTTGTTTCTATTTCTGCTCTCACCAGTTAACTTTGTACTTGATTTTGCACTTAAGTCCTAAATTATTTGTTCGCTGCTTACCTGTCCATCTAAATTAATCAACTTCGAACTTTCGAACTTCCCTTCATCATTCCACGGGTAGAGCAGTGTCACAAATGGGTCGATTGTATTTACCTAATTTGTAATTTCTGCAGCTTTTCCTTTTGTTTACGTCTTACTCATACATATATATATTCTATTTAAGAAATTGCTCTACGAAATTGCCAACGGTTGATATGTGAACTTTAATTCTGGAGCATGTTTTTTAAGTTTTTCGTGAGAAAATTTAATATGATTTCTTTTTTTGCCAGATAAATCTCGAAAATTGTATATATACCTAAAAGCCTATCAATTTGCGTATTACTTTGAGATCGAATAATCGTACTCATGGACTAATTATTTTATGTACTGTACATTGAGATTTCATTCATTTGACCTCGCAGCTCTTGGAAAAAATATTAGTAATAAGTAATAATATGAATATGAGAGAATAATATTCATATTCTCTCATATTAATATTTCAACTACAACAAGAAACTTGGTATTTCCGTCTCCCATGGCAATCGGATTTAAGTAACCGGAACAGAACCGGATTTTTACCCGCCAAAGACTTCCAACTCGGCACCATGCTTCGAAATTACTTCAGCAATGTTTTGCTGCCGCTACAACAACAACAACAACAGCAACTTGGTATTTCAAACGTCCGAAAACAGACCCTCGTCACAGCCTACAAAACGACTAAATACATTGTTTGACATACCCAGAAACCCTTTCAAAGAACTAATCATCATAATCATAAAATCAATCAGCCTTTCGGAGCCTGCTTAGAACTTATAAGTCTCTCAATTCGTTAGAGAACCCACCACAATCCAAAGCAAAATTCAGATGTCAAGCAAATATTAAGGGTGTTACCAATAATTTCGTATACAAAGAAAGGCCAGTTATACTTTATAATTCATCTCTTATAAAATATGTTTTGTTCTTCGTTAGATATTCTCCTTAACAATCAACGCATATCAATTACTCATCGGATTAGTCGGATTACCAAGACATTGTTGCATTGCGAAGTGAATATTCGGTAAAATGGGGAGAATCTATTAAGGATGCCGAACTGTAAAGAAGATTTCTTACTGAAAAAAGTTAAGAATAGCGATCCATTCTAATAATATAGTTCATAATAACAATCGATCGAAATAAAAAATAGAAAGGTTAGTAAGAGCTTTCGTAAATACATATTTTAGGTTAAGTTGGGTTCAATCGCTGATCCAAGGAACGCACTTCGACTGCCATATGTAGTAAGGCACCGAACTATTAACCACAGTCAAGCGGCACTTATAGTATAGCGATCTCTGCGTACGAGATCAACTAGCTACTGGTGTAGGAGCATATATGACTATATATAGATAGCAGTATATATAACAGCTGAACACTTTATCAGATCATAACCAAATGCACCTTATTTGGGTGCCGGTTACAAAGGTATGGCTGGAAATGAACTGTCTGACGAGCTCGTCCGCTCCGCAGAATCCAACAAAATAATAGGATCTGAATCTTTTATTGCGATTGGTTCCCATACCATAAAGTAACTGCTCTGCAAGGATGAAAGAGTGCGAAGAGACAGCATAAAGACGCTTAGATATATCTTTAAAAAATAGCAACTAGCAGTATATTGGAATTTATTAATATGCAGAGGCTAGGAGAGTTGTTGGGACTTAAGAGAGGGCAAAATAGATCTAAGCTTGCGGTGCAATTATTATTTATTTATTTATCTATCTAAAGGTGAAACCTTAAAAAGAAAATCTTGTATCCGGATGATAAAAGATAAAATCCACGAAAGGCCTTGTGGTCCTACGAAATTACACGATTCGGTGGAATAGTCTTGATCTCGCATACACAGAACAATTAAGGAAACACAGAACAACCTAGGAAATACACAACATTCAAGGAAGGAGTGTTGAAATATTTCCACTTCGTCCTCTTCTGCACAGCTTCTGTAGCTGGCCTCCGGCAAGTTTATAAGCCTTACAGCATGAACGTCGATAGGACAATGCTCCATCAGAACCTCCACAACTAGGCAAAGACCAGCTTTACTGAGCGCAAAGAGCTTACTGAATCTCTGACGACCGACTTTGGGTCAAAAGCATTTTGCGCCGGCATATGAACTGATGGAAACCGGAAAACACAGAAATCCAGTAGCGAACACAAGAGACCGACAACGCCGATCCATCCCAATTCTATGTATTAGGGTACCTTTCTTTGCCATGTACCTGGGAATCCGCAGTGGTCTGGCATCGATGATGAGGTTGGCACTCCTTAATCAGCTTTGAACGCACAGTTATAAGAAATAAGAAATGAAAGCAATATCGACTTAAAAAACACTGCAATAGTTAATGAGTCTGAAACTGAAGTTAATAGAGAGAGAATATGCCACCAACCTTCATACAAGCTTTGACTACTCCATAAAGAAGCTTACTGTCTCTGTCTTTTACCGGGTTCAACCCTTTCAAAACTCTTTTGCTTGCATGTGTTCAGAGAAAAGGCCATCAGAGTTGAGTGAGTGTGCAGTATATGCAGTAGGGCGTTAAGTTCCATGGTTGGTGTGGAGCGCCACTGGTTGAATTGYACCGAAATTCCTTGCTCTCCACCGGACAAAGACTTCATCAAACGTAATGGGCTAGACTATGGCGCCGGAGAAYCAGATGACTATTTTYGGTGAGAGACCACACCTTTTGCCATCACSCGGCAGCCACGCTGGTAAAGTCTTTTCAGCGGATCGTTCGCGACCAAGATCAGAAGGTTATGATCACCAAATCTTGGAACAATGCACGTCCATATTTTGAGTATCATCCGCGATAACGATAATAACAATCAATTYTATTCTAGTTTCTCACATTGCACACAAAATGAAATTATATATATAAACTAAAATACCTCGACCTCTAAATTAAAMAAAAATGTGCGAAAAAGTCAAAATGTCACCACCGCTACAAGCAATTGCCTATGTGCAATGATCTGGTAACCTTAACTCAACCACATGTTGACCTGCGGCAATGTCGTTCACTGGCTGGACCAAACGAGTGCCTTCTCTTGCGATATCACTTACCCACATGTATGTCGAACAGTTAGGCAAACCACAGCCGGGACATATTACCGTTATAATATTTCTCGCATTTTCATTTAAGCTGCCAGCTCGTAAATATCCGACATGTTCGCATGGAAGTGTGGTTTGGCGTGTGCGCTTCGCTTCACTCCATATAACAAGGCTCTGAAGATTATGCGCTCGTTTGAGCTTACACACACGACAAAGTAAAGAGGTTAGCGACAATGCTCTCCAGGGGTACACTATAGCGGTGCGTRTGTTGGCTGCTTACTCTACGTAATCGAGGCAGCTGACTGGCAATGATGTGATATGGTAGTCGGTAGAGCATTAGTTTGCTTATATGTGTATGTATATATGTATGTACATCTTATCAGCAGCTATCCAGAAGCTATTAGTATGTGTTTATGTGAAGGTGTGTCGGTTGTTGGTTTCCCTGTATGTGTCAATACGCTCATACTCGCTCACAAAGTGTTTAYGTGCCTAAATGTATGCTATTAATTTAGCTTTTGCAGTAATTTAACTTATCTCCTTTAAGCATGCTTGCGCTGTCGCGTGTATTTCGACCACATATTATCGATATCAGTACATCAACGTTGAGACACATTGACCACTCCAAAGCCTGTCTCTTATACACATCTAGATGTGTATAAGAGACAGACATTGACCACTCCAAAGCCAGGCTTCCAGGAAATTGTTAAGGAACTTGCTTTAGCTGGCAAATTAGTTGATGACATCTCAACCGTTTAGTTGTGGTATGATTTTCACACATGATTACCACAAACAGGGAGTCCACACAACACCATCACCCACCTTGAGACCCAGCATTCTTTATTGGATAACATTCGATCGAATAGATCACATTCAGCTCGCAGTGAGGAAAAATAAAGCAGCCGAGGCTGAGAGTGTGTACGAAAACCGTAGAGAGTCAATTCAGCGCCGTTTGCAGAAACTTAAACTGATGTRTGGAACAACTTGACGCATTTTACGTCGAAATCTTAAATTACAAAGAAAGAAGCCGTTCGAACTTCCCAACGAACATCTTTTCGCTATATGGGCTCTTGAAATGTTGCAAGAAATCCCACGTTTTCGAGCCAAATTTTGTTCAGTGATAATGGGCCCATTTCTGACTCAATGGGAACGTAAGCAAGAAAAATTGCCGCATTTCGGGTGAAGAGTAACCTGTAGAGATACAAGAGCTACCATTTCGCATTTCGGGTGAAGAGTAACCTGTAGAGATACAAGAGCTACCATTTCATGCAGAATAAGCAACGGTTTGCAATCATCGGTCCATATTTCATCAAATATGAAACGCTAAAAACGTAACCCTCAATGTCGACCGTTATTGCGCCATGATAACCGTTTTGGTTTCAACAAGACGGCGCTACTTCCCGGACATCACATCAATCAATAGATTTATTGATAGAATACCTCAGTGTAGAGGTAATTTCAGATTTTGGACTGATCGATTGGCCACAGAGATCATGTGATATAACACCATTGGACAATAACGCTTCGATTCAGGCATTGGAGCAAAACATCACGCATGTCATTTTCC